GATGCGTCGAAATCTAAGAGTTCTGGGGGGTATGTGGACTTCTTTCTTTACATCTCTCGCTATCCCACCTATCTTAGCTCGCATCCACAATTTGAATTCTTCATTTATGCATCGTGTAACCATGTAAGGCATAGTTGCTACCTTGTCAAAAACACGGCTGTTTCGTTCCAGCCAGATGCAGCGTAACACAAGGCAAACCAGAGTGTTTATCTTCCTACGTCTTCCACCAAAAATTGCATTGCTCAGGCCTGAATTTTTTCCTCCGGGGTCGGCGTAAACCTATGGAGACGCCAAGGCAGGAGAACGCTGTACCAAATCTCTAGCGAAGGAGCAACTGAGGAGCATGTGATTTAAATCTTCCTCCTCCTGGCAACACAGAACACAACACTCGGGATGCTCGAGTTGCCGCCTGGCGATCAACAGTCCAAAGGCGATTGTGAAGCACTAGCCATATGAAGATTTTGATCTCTAATGGATTTGGAATGGTTCCTGCCTGTCCGATCCGACATGTCGGACGCATCCGAGCTCCCCTATATCCAACCCACATATGAGCTGGGCATTGGGGGGTGCCCGGTCAGCCTGGACTTTTGGGCTGAGTTTGCCAGGTCTTGTTGGGTCAAAGTTTTCTGTCCGGACAGTGCCGAGCCCAACCGCCGGATGTTTGGTGCCGAAACGGGGGCTCTCGCTGTAGATGCTCTAATTGTATTGCACACCATCTCATGAAAAAATGGAATTGCTACGCATTCATTTTGGATCGTGTCTTTCACATGTGAAAAATCCTGCTGTACTTGGAGAAGAACGAAATATACTTTGGGATGCAAAAAAGGTGGATTCACCGCTGAAGAAGCGAACGCATCTCTGTTTGTCAGTCTACAGAAAAACTGCAGATTCTTTCCTAGTGCTAACAGAGAGCTACTGCGCCGTGGCGCCCAATATTTCTCTGTTGCAACCCAACCGTCCTATCACCGGTTTCCGGATCAGGCAGTTGGTCGATGTCATCTTCTGCATCTCCCGGTCCTCACAAATGAACCTGGCTTGTCCTCCTTCAACTGAAACCTGAAGCTACGGCGGCACGGGAGACCTTCGGGCTAGGATTCTGAACTAGCACCAGCAACGGCTGTGAAGAGTAGCATGCGTCGGCATGAGAAGTCCTCTGCAGTATCACCAGGTGTTAGATTCAAATGCAATAACTCTGCGATCATAACGTTCTAGAACAAAAAAGATGAATAAATAGCTGAAATAATATGTGCAGTGTTGCCTACCACTCCAACATGCCATTGGTCCGAGACGAGTCCTCTGAAATCGGCTGCGTCCATTTCCTGTGTCGTTACAGTAAGCACGGCGCATTTCAGTCGAGCTTTTCAGACCACAAGAACACAAGATGCTAAAGAAATGAACTGAGGTTAGGTGACCATACCACGCTGTAAATGGGTGGCATGGTAATCTCCCAGTTTGACTTCATCAGGGGCATGACCGGCAGGTGGAGTGATGCTTCAGGGATCCTGAAGTTCCACCTGAAATATTTGGAATTCATATCCCATTTCAGCTCAAGATGGTATTTCACTTGATTTTAACGACCCTGTCTGGCGATAATCGATACTCACCCAATGTACATGAAGATGCAGAACTGCACCCATTCGCGTACCAACACGCGGAACCAGTAGTTATCCGGCGTATCATCAGCCCTCATGTACACCTGAACACACAAATGGCATTATCACAGTTCAGTAAACATTGTCACTGTTTGTACCATAAGAAAATGCCGTGCATGGCAGTCCATAGTTACCATGATGAATGCCACTGCTGCCACCTGCATTGTACCCTGAAATCTCCTGAAGAGAAGAAAACAAGGAGCTAAGCACATGAGTTATTATTTTAAGAGTAAAATACTGTAAGTGTTGGTCAGGAATAAGGACTGCTTACTTGAACATTGTGTACTTGGTGTTGAGTGTCCCATGCAGTGAATGGATGTCTTCCTCCTCCACGAAATTAAGCTGCTCACGCAGAACCAGCAGGCACTGCGACGTGCGGCGGAATATGATGTAGAATGACGCGAAGTAGTTCATCAGAAGAAAACCCTGTTCCAAAATCAGAGCACAGTTTCTCATCATCTGGCTTCTTAGATAGCTAATTGTATAGAATCCCCAAACAAATAAATCGCAGAAGAAGACAGACGGCTTACGGTGAAATAAGGGACTGCGGCTTTATAGCCTATGAGGCTAAGGTAGAGGAGGCATCCGAGCCCCGCAGTCGTGCGTCTCTCCCTGATGGAGAGGCGCTCGTACATGATGCAGTAACCGTGGGAGATGAGCATGAAGGAGACGAAGGAGGCCGTCTGGAAGAGGATCCCCGTCACGTACACGCCGAACGACATCCACAGCGAGCATGTGTGAAGGTGTACGCACGAGTACCTGCAGACACGCCACCCAAATTCAGACCTTCTGCAGCAGCTTCAGGGGCTTGTTCACATTTTTTCAGATTTGAAAGTTGCCAACCTGAACCTAGTGAAATGAAAGGGAAAAAAGATCCAAAAAAGAATCAGACTGCTCACCAGAACAGAAACGAGAGTGCCATTTGCAAAGCTTTGATCAGGGGAACCAAGGCCAGGATCCATTGAAGGTTATTCGCCTGTTGTAAAAAAGAAACAAAATTATAAAACTAACCAACAACGGAATTACGAAAGCAATATCCCCTGTCAATTTAATCAGACGCCCAAGGCAGGGTTTACATACTGAAAATTCTGTTTAAAGTTCATATAGTTCTGGAAGAAGAAGAAAATTGTTGAAATTAAAAGGCAGGATTCGACAGACCTGGAAGTGCCGATTCCTCCATGAGCTGAAGGCCCAGGAGATCCCCGACGCCGCCCATATCGCCAAGAAGCCGAGGTAGAGCGACGGGAGAGGCTGGTAGGCGCTGCTCAGCGCCGGGAGAGAAGACGACGAGGCCTCCTGCATCTTCTTGCACGGGCAACCGACCACTGGCAATGCAGAGAAACACGAAGAAGATCTTGGCGAAGATGGGAAGGGACGAATCACAGAGGCTTGAACAGATTTAGTGATGATGGATTGGAGCAGCAGTGTGCGTAGATAGATAGATAAATAGCCAGGGCTTGGATTTGATTTTATCATGGCAACGGTGCGGTAATGGGTTTGGCGTCTGGGGGAAGGGGAGTACGTGCGCTCCCTCTTTTTCTCACCAGAAGCGTTATGGGAGTGTAGGAGTAGTTAGGGTTGGTTACTTATTGGAGGGAAAATACTACTAAAGGCAACGGCTCTATTCGTGTCTCACAAATTAAACAAAATTTATTCTCTTCTTTCTTTTTGAGCCGAAAATTATTCTCTTCGCTTTGGTGTTGTTGTTGACTTGTGCCTGGAATAAAAACATCTGTACGCGTACGTGTGCATTCCTTTGGCCCAAGGGTGTCAAGTACACCTTTTTTGGGGGGCAAGGCAATTTGACTTTGGCCCAAGGACGATCATGATACACTTTGGTTTGACTTTGGACTGACATGTAGGGTCCAGAGTATGGTATGAGATCGTAATAGTAGGTAGTAGAAATGAGAGAAGAAAAAGCTTGCAGGCCTGTATAACAGGGAACGAAGAAAGATCATGTCACGAATTTGTAGGGCCGGAAACGCTAAAGAACCCATTCTCGAAGAAATATTTTGGTAAAGTACTCGCAAGGCACGCACCGTGCCAGCATCAGTCGCCTGGTGATCTGGGTTCACGCCTTGCCTACGGAATTAACTAGCGCTGTAGTATCGGCGGATCGTGGCCGCATATCGCGCATGCTCATGTATGGGCTATCCTGGGTCAACACATAAATAACTTGGTTTGTATTTTCTTTATCTTGCGATGCGATTCATTGAAGGGTGTGAAGCAGATTTCAGGGCAGTTGGCGCAGTGGCGGCCTACTGATTCCACGTCTCAAGAAGGCCGCTTTGACTGGAACAGGTGCGGGTGAGGGACGGGGATCAAGGGTTTGAGATTTAGGTGCGCGGCTAAGCGTATTAGGTAAACCAACCCTCCCCTCCCCTCCATGGGACGAGGATCATTACGGCGCACGGAACTGCCACTGCGTGCGTGCGTGCGTGAGTGACGGTAGACGACGACCAGTAACGTGGCTGCTCCATCACTGGTACCGGAGATAATTAGGAGTGTCGTTTGCCCAACTGAGACCTTCTACAATGCAAGGTATTTAGAGGAGGTGGCCCAGTTTTTCTTAGACATCAGTGTTTATCTTTATGGGAGGATAATAATTAAGTGTCTACCTTTTACAAATAAACACTGGTACTTAGAAAATAGCTTGTTTTTCTAAACACCTTGCATTGTGCAAGGTATATAGCATAAAACTATCAGTACTATCACTGCTTCAATTTTGGTAAAAAGAAAGTACTACCACTTTACATTACGGGTAAGGCAATATGTCGGTAAGGCGTCCGTTCAGTCGATTTAAACACAACTGGAAGAAGCATGTATAAGCCATGAAATTGGGTTTTTGACTTAGCTTTGTGGCATGTGGAACAACGGTTGGTTGAACACGCCATATCACGAAACATCTTGGGCCAATAGTATTTGTTGGAGAGCGTGGCATGAGTTTTGTCACGTCCAAAATGTCTCATGAGTCCTCTTGCAAAAAGAGGAAACACAAAGAAGACTTGGGGCTGCAAAGTTTGTTAGTACGACGCATAAGATACCCATCTTTCATATACTAACCCTCCAAACAAGTGTTAGTTTGACACTTGGCAAAGGGTAACACAAAGTATGCGTCATGCTCATATAAATCTTTGATATGCTCAAAATCGATCACATTTAGCTCAAGTCCAGTAATTAACATACGCTTGTGGGAAAAGAGCATCTGCCACAACATTTTCTTTGTCCTTAATGTATTTGATGACATAAGGAAAAGATTATATTAATTCACTCCATTTGGCATGTTTTTTTATTTAACTTGGTTTGGCCTTGTAGGCATTAGAGAGTTTCATGGTCTGTGTCAATAACAAACTCACTAGGCCCGAGGTATGCTCCCAAACATGCAAAACTCTCATCAATGCATGCAGTTCTTTGTTATATATGGGGTAGTTCAATTGTGGGCCGGATAGTTTCTCACTTAGATAAGCTATCGGACATTTCTCTTGCATTAACACGCCACCTATGCCATTACCACTAGCATCACAATGTACTTCAAATGTTTTATCAAAATTGAGTAAAACAAGCAATGGTGCATGTGTTAGCTAATTCTTAAACTCACTGAACGCGGTATCTTGTGAGGGATTCCATATGAATGGTGCATTCTTCTTACTCAAAGCATGTAAAGGTGAAGCAGCGGTGCTAAAGTCTTTCACAAAGCGACGAGAAAAATCGGCTAACCCAAGAAAACTGCGCACATGGTTTTAATCGGTGGGTTGGGGTCAAGTTTTAATAGTATGAATATTAGATTCATCTACTTCAATGACCTTAGAGGAGACAACAAAACCGAAGAAAATGAGCTTGTCTACACCAAATGTGCACTTATCATGAATGGCATAAAGTTTCTCATATCTTAGAAGTTGCAAGACTTCCCTAACGTGTTTGACATGGTCATCAAGAGTTTCACTAAACACAAGGATATCCTCAAAATAGACTACAACACTTTTTCGAATTAATTTAGTAAGCACATGATGCATCAATCACATAAAGGTACTAGGTGCTTGAGATAAACCAAAAGGCATGACTAACAACTCATAGAGACCAAACTTGGTTTTAAAAGCGATTTTCCAGTCATCGCCTTCTTGCATACAAATTTGATAGTACACAATTTTAAGGTCAATTTTAGAGGATATGGTGGCACCACTTAGTTCATCTAGCATATCATCTAGGTGGGGAATGGGGTGCTGATACCTAATGGTAAAGGACTTTACACGCGATAATTGAAGCACATTCGCCAACTACCATCCTTCTTAGGCACAAAAACCACCGGAACCACACAAGGATTAAGGCTCTCGCGTACATACCCATTGTCAAGTAGGCATTGAACTTGACATTTACTTTCTTTGGTCTCGTCGGGGTTGACGCGGTAAGCGACTCGGTTCGGCAGAAGCATGCCGGGGATGAGGTTGATGTGGTGCTCGATTCAGTAAAGAGGAGGTATTACCGGTGGTAGCTCATCAGGAAATACGTCCTCAATTTTAGTGATGGTGCTACGGAGGCACAAAACAGTAGACCGAAACAGTATATTTGCATGAACAATACCCCGTGGCAAAAATAAGTTGTCGGGCGATTAATGTCCATTTTTACACCATGACATCAGTGAACTGTGCAACAACAATTATTCGAACAAAAACTGAAACAATATCCAAATAAACCAAGAGCGACATATAATAAATGGGAAGAGTTTGATTTTTCTGATTTTTTTATTTTTTAAAGGTACTGTTCAGTTACATATACTAAAGCAGGAACAGTAACCACGCACAATCAGTAATCGCTTATGAACCGCGATCACCGATCAATCCCCCTTATGTGAACAATACTCCTGAAGAAAAAATCCGCGTTAGAAAAAAAAACTAAGATATTTTTTCCCATCATTTCACTCCCTTCCTTCACCCCTCGCGTCCTCATCATTTCTCTCCTCCCTCCTCCACCCTTGCGTCCTCATCATTTCTCTCCCCCTCCTCCGCTCTTGCATCATCATTTCTCTCCCCCTCCTCCACCCTCGCATCCTTATATAGAGGATTAAGATTTAGGATTTTTGTACACATCATTGCTCTTCCCCGGCGTACTGATGCACAAACGTCTTGGTCGTCTCCCGATCATTTTCAGTGATGGTGCTATGGAGGCACAAAATAGTAGACCAAAACAATATATTTGCATGAACAATACCCGTGGCAAAAATAAGTTCTTGAGCGATTAATGTCCAGTTTTACACCATGACATCAGTGATCAGTGCAATAACAATTATTCAAACAAAAACTGGAACAATATCCAAATAAACTCAGAACTATAACCAAAATAATAGCCCAAATAAAGTGAAACAACAAACCCGAATATCCCAGAACAGTAGAATCACTACCACAGAACAACACCTGAATAAACCGAAACACATTAACCCACCCGGACCATAAATTGAAACCGTTACCGAATTGTAACCCAAAGCAATACACCCATACAAATCGGGACAACAAAAACAGTAAAACATCACTATGCATTCACGTGAACAGCAATCCAAAAAAATATCAAAACAACTGAGACTCCTCCCCCATCGACCCGGAACAATAAAACCAGCGACACGGAACAACATTTGAATAAACCGGAAACACTAACCCCATCCAAACCATAAGCCAAAGCAATACCTGAATTGTAATCCAGGACAATAAACCCGAATAAACAGGAACGATAAAAATAGTAAATCAACACTATCCATTCACGTGAATAGTAATCCAGAAGAAATACCAAAAAATCCCTAAAAATAAACTAAGACTCCTCCCTAGACGTGTTCACCTACGCAAGAGAATAGCCGATGGTGTTTCAGTCGTCTACCTTGCTTTCTCCCCTATGTGGCCAACCAGATCAAGGCCTCAACCACACTGTAGTCACTGAAGCCATTTCTACGGCGTGCTCCATCATGTCAGTCTATAAGCAACCAACGAGAAGAGGCAATATGAAAATAAAAACTGTCACTCGACAAACCTCTTCACTCCACTCCCTATTTCTGTTTCTTTGACCAGTTCAAAGAAAAAGAGAAAAATACAAGTCCGTGTAGAGCAACATTTTCTCAGAAAAAACATTGTAGAACCAGTTAGGCCTTGGTTGCAAAAATCTCCCGATGTATGGATATACCACTTATCCTATATCACAGTTCGAAAAGCACATTGGGTTGAACGTCCTATTATCAGATTAGCCATTCACAGGTACTGCATTAAAATAAGCTCTTCGCCAATTACTATTCATTCTTACACCACGACAATTTTGGGGTTTAA